GAGTTTCTGCTGCCACTCTGTTGTGCCAAGGCCTGAGGTTCAAGATTTAAAATGTAGAAGGGTTTTAGGTCTAGGGTTTAGGGCCTTACCGTATCGGCCATGTTATGGTTTAGGGTACTCTTTAGAGCCAGATAGGTTGAAAATGGTTTAAATGAGTGGGTTGGGTTTCCGGTATACATAGGGGCTCAATATGTGCTCAGGGCTGAAAGCTTGATAAAGACAGGCCTCGGAGTGATTCGATTATCGGTTGGCGAGTGAAGCGATTTTGCTGTGTGCCATGCAGCATGTGCACGGCGACTGTAGTTTGTCAGCTGCTGCATGGTCATCGACTAAGGCTTCCTCGTGAGCCGCAGTGCGAACATAGTTAATATCGGCAGGCATCTTTCGGACAGCATGGGTTGAAATTGCAGATAACCGTCTTATATATATTGTACAGCTCAGGTGCAGGAAAGGCTTTTTGCCATGTGTTATAGCTCCTGGGAGATGCTGCCGATCGAGGGCGGCGAAAGGTGGTTTTGTGCAAATCGATCCTGCTACAGCTGTTTCCGCTGATGCTAAAATCCACGATGTATTTATATGCTTCTCAGCCTTTCGCACTCCATGGTAGAGTTTCGCAGAAAGCATGCCGATGCGATTTCACGGTTATCAAACCACTTACCGTCGCCAACTGTACATGTGGATTGAAGCAGATCGCCTAACCCGATCAGTTGCCGAGTGAAAGCCAGCAGAGTGCTCCGTGGAGATGCCGCATGCAGCGAGGGGTCAGTTTCAACTAAAGAGTGTGAGCATGCCTTCGCCAAACATTTGTCACTTTGTCCATGTGCTGCAGTGCTGCATCTGTTCCTCGGAGTATGCCGCAACGAGGGGTGAGGTTCCCGAGCTTGAAAAATATCGTGTGCTTTCGCTGATGGCTCAATGTGCCTGCACTTTCCTGCATGCTTTTTCCGCTCGAATTTATATAAGCAGCTTATCTCCACCCGCCTTCGCGAGGTACGTGCCCGAAGAGCAGCCCGTCGCAAAGCGCCAGAAGTTGATGCTGAGCTCATATATTGACAGTTGTAATAGCGGAAATTCCCAACCCAGAGCCGGATCCCAGGACACTCGAACAAATGGATTCTGGAGCTGCAGCTTTGGCTGAGGAGATCGGTGCTGGAGAGCCTTATCATGCAGGGTTGGGGTTTAGGGCTTTAGGGGTTTAGGGTTTAGGGGTTAGAGGGGTCGAGGGTTAAGTGTTTGGGGGTTTAGTGTTTAGGGGAGGGGTTTATCATGATTATAGCATGGTCTGTTTTTGTGCGGAAGTACAATTAACTATGGATTGCCAATACATCGTGAACTCAGGGCATTTCCTTGAAGAAAGGTGCATCCATTGCAAAATCGTTCGTGAAGGACGGAGCTACCGGAACATCCAATCGGCAGCTGGGCTCGACAAGTCAAGAACGTGATTTCTGGAGGTGGATGAAGCTTCCTGTCGATGCTTATTGTGTTGACCTCCCTTTGTATTCCAGACACAGTATACACAAGCAAGTGGTGTTGGAAAAGGTTTCGGTGCTGCTCATGAGTGACATGCTTAATTATGTTTTTACGCTGGGTAAAGAATTGGGCATCCTGCTCGCTCACCCGGATTCGCTGCGGTCCTGGTGGGAAAATGAGCATGACAACATCTACTTGCAGGAGCTTGGATTGAGCAAGTCCGAGCTCATCGAACAGCATTATATTCCCCTCGTTTTCCACGAAGATGGTGTGCCAAATTGGCACGATTCCACTGCTGCCTTTTGGAGCTGGTCATGCCCCTGCTCCGCTGTGGCCGACGCCATGACGAACCGCTTTGCCATTGTGGGAGTCGAGACGGCTTTGCTCACGCCGGAGGCACGCAGAATTCNNTCATCGGTTGGGACTTGGAGAGCTTGCGATCTGGTGTCTATGCAACATGCAATCACGAAGGAGCTCAATTTGCAGATGGCAGCTTGCGATCCAGGCGGGGTGGCACCCCGATGCGAGCCAAGGCCGTGTTTGCCTTTTGGAAAGGGGACGCCGAGGCCCACGTCAAGTCCCACTTTTTGGAACGGCATTATGGAGCTCGCATGATTTGCGACTGGTGTGCCGCACTGCGAACAGCTGCCGTCCCGTACGCCGATTTCAGAAGTACGGCTTTGTGGCGACGAACATGCGATTATGAGGGAGACACACGACAGCACGAAGCATCCCCGTGGTTATCTGTCAGGGGATATAGAAAGAGAAGACGCTGCTTCGACTTGATGCATCTGTGTCATTTGGGATTTATTCGGGACGTGATTGGTGGTGTTTTGCGAGATACGCTTCAGACTGGTGTCCTGGCTCATGCAAACAGCATCGTTTTAAACCTAAGGCCGGTGTGAACTTATATACAGACAAATAGGTTAATTGCTCGGTGCTGGGACGGTGCTTTTCCATTGCATACCGCAAAACCCTTACAGAGCCCATATAGATCCCTAAAGCCCAAACCCCAAACCCTAAACCCAAACCCCCAAGCCCTAGGGTTTAGAGTTTGGCTTCCTTTGGAACGGATGCCAATGGTTGCTTCAATTTCGAGGTGAACTGCAAAGATTTGTTCAGCTCCCTGGAAGAAATTGGGACGAGATGGACGACTGCCTCCACGCTTTTACACGGCTCGCACAACAGTGGGCCAAGGCCCGCAAGCTCGATCTGTACATAAAACCTCTTACCGTCGCCAACTGTGGATTGAAGCAGATCGGCTACCCCGAGCTCAGTTCCCGAGTGAAAGCCAGCAGGGCCAGGGTTTTGCTGAGTTTCTGCTGCCACTATGTTGTGGCCTTGGCCGGGGCCCCTGGTGCAAGCCCAGA